TATATATATTTCAATAATGTTCCTAACACAAACACTCAAAAGCACGCGCGCACACACACACACACACACACGCGCGCGCGCGCGCGCGCGCGACACACACACAAACACTGACATATACACAAACATACATATTCTCTGTCTCACAAACACAATAATATATTCATACACGCGCGCACACACACAACCACTCACACACAAACCAACATACACTCACGCACACTCACGCATACTCAGACACACACTCAGACACTTACTCATTCTCATCATCATCGGGTGCCTTGCCGACTGGCGTGGACGATCATGGACCTCCACTTCACTCTGTCTTGCGTTGAAGCAATTAGGGTGTCTGTTGTTCTTGCTGCTCCTAGCCATATTGTCATCTTGTCCAGTATCTTTTCCCTCTGTCTGCCTCTGCCTCTCTTTCCATCAAACTTGCCTGTTGCAATATTCTCCAATGCTTCTTTCCGCATTGTGTGTCCGAAGAAATTTGCATGTCGCTTTCTTATATTCGTCATGAGCTGTCTTCTATAATTTGATTCAAACAAGACTTCTTCATTTGTTTTTCTAGCTGTCCATGGGATACGTAGCAGGCGTCTTATGAACCACAACTCTGTCGCCACAATTGTTCTTTCCAGCTTGTCCATGCTTCGCACACGTATAATAGGATTGGCTCGATGCAACTTTTCAGTACTCTTTTTCTCGTTTCCAGTGACAGATTGGTGTTTATTAGTATCTGTTTCATTTTGGGGACGGTTGCTTTTGCTTGGCAAATGCAGCTTTTAATTTTGGTGTGACATCTCCCATCTGATGATATAATGGTCCCCAAATATTTAAAATGTACTTGCTTGAGGGTGGTATCATTGATTTTGATATTGCATGTTGGGGTTGGAGTTTTTCTGCTTATCACCATTGTTTCGGTTTTCTAGATGTTTAGGCCCATGTTGTCACTCTCTTGAACGATGACATTTAATATATTCTGTAAGCGTTCTTCATCATTTTAATTTCATTAAAAGCTTGTTATGTCGGCCTTCATTCTCTTGGTAGTTTTTATTAAAATCTATATAATTTTGAGTATGCCTTGTTGTAATAAAAAACAAATAATTTAGTTTGCAACTATTGTAAGGTATTTTACAAGCACTTTTGCAATGGCTAAACTGTAATGGGAGAAACTGGAAACAACCTTATTTCTTTTGTCATTCTAATTTCTTTTATAACTTGAAATGTCGGTCGTTACACTGTCAGTTTTTATTATTATCTATTTACTGTTTTTAGTATGCCT